GGAGAGGTTAATGTTATCAGTTCTGCATCTGTTAGAACATCATCTGTGTGAGTGTGATGATTTAGCTCCTGCTTTGTCTTTTTCTGTAATGCTTTGCCCAAAACCATCTCTGTTTTTCCTCTGTGAGTGTTTGTGGGAAGATCTCCAGTCATTAACATTGATGTGAATATTCCCAAAGCTCAGTGCAGTCTTTAAAACATGTCCAAAGTATGCTTTGGTGCGTGTTAAGTCCTGCTTAAAGGCGAAAAGCTAAGACAAAGGAAATGCAATGAACCATCTCTTGTACCTCAGCTCTACCTTGATACCTCTTGCTGCTGGGTGACATATATGTGGCATCCTGAAGAGCGCGTGCATTCAGAGGAGAGCGTGGAAGCAAGTACTGTTGGCTTCATTTTGTGTGGTGTCTTACTCTCTGGATGCCTCCTGAAATCACACTGCTCGGTGCCCGTGCACTTGTGGATGGTATAGTTAGTTCATTCAGTGGATTCATTTGAATAAATAAAACCTACTGCACTTTTTGTATCCGTTCAGACACTAAATGCACTGCAGATGAGGGCAGCTGGAGGGGCTTGGAAAAGAGTTCAAGCCTTGCTATAGTCAGCAGTGATCTGGGAAACAGCATTGGGAGAGTTAAAATGGGGATGTTGGTATCTCTTGCTAAATGCTTTTTCAAGACTGTGGATTTTAGAGTATTGCAGAATATTGCTACCTAGATGTTCTGCCTTTGGAGCAATATTGCAGAATGAGACAGCACATTAGCTGTAAGAGAGCATTTTACTAAAATACTTCCTAGCTTGTTTCCTGGCAAAAAACTTTTCAAATATTCTCCCTTTCATATGTCCCAGTGATCTGTTCATCTGTTTTCATAGTATTTTTAATATTTTTACAAAACTGGGGAGTGTTTGTTTTGGTTTTTTTGGTTTGTTTTTTAAAGGAAATTAAATTGCTTTCAGCTAGGGGCCTTTCATTAAACACAGTCTGTAGCATGTCTCTAGCATCAGGAGGTCCTGATACTGGGCTGTAATTGAGTTTTGCATTCTGTCTGAGCAGAGTTCGTCTCAAAAACTAAAATCTGAGGGAAAAAGTAATTTGTACAGATGGTCTTCATAAAGCAAAGGCAGATTAAATCTGGACCTGTCACGGAATTGCTCTTACAGATGCATCTGCTGCAAAATAATTACCTCTCTCGAGCCCAGTAAGCTAATCAATGTCTTTTGTTTGTGTCTGCAGTGGAAACAATTAAAAGCTCATTTCCTGTTTTTTAGGTAAACTTACAGATTCTCTGATTTTTAGGGATAATTAGATTCATTTTGATGTGTATCACAGTCCAAAGTGTTCCTGTTGGACAACTAGCTGTCTGTAATATAATTTACCTGTAGTCAGGATGTAATTTCTTTTCAATCACTTTTTTAACTTGAGATGGTCTTTTGCTAAAGAGTTCCAAATCATTTTGTCTCCTTCACTGTAAATCACATTTGAAAAGCTTAGGGCTTTTTGTACAAACATAAGAAATGCCATTATTTGCATTTATTTCAAATTCTTTATGTTAATTTTCTGCAACATGAGAAAAAAATTCTGTAACACAGTTGAGAAAATGAACACTGCTACTACCTTAGTTGTAGTCTATGAAAATCTGTGTTGGGAATCTGATCTCTCAAACACAGTGAGAGGGGCAGGGGATGTTAGAAAGTAGCTACTGATGATGCCACTTAATTCCTAGAAGCACATCTGAAATTCCCAGCAGACTTCCACTGAGGGGTTTCCAGTAGAGATTTTACTCCATGTGATTTGTCAAGTCCCTCAGTGTGGCTCAGTATCCTGTTGTGGGTTCACAGGGGGATAAATCTCACCCCTCCGTGCTGAAATTCCATGAGCAGGGTGGACAGTGGTAGGCTGGAAAGCGGTGCTGCTCTGCTCATGGCCCAGAGCAATTCAGAACCTGCATCTTCCATGTGATCGAGGCTGCCAGGGAGCACAGGGATGCCGGGTGGTGCCCCTGTTTTCTGCTCCAAAGGCTCCCTTGGAACCTGGACCAGGCGAGCATCCACCTCACATGCAGGAGCTGTTTTAACCATCACACATCTGAGCTCACAGTGTGAATAGTGTGAATGCTGCCACAAAGGGTGAATCTTGGAAAGGAAGCAGCACAAGCCGATGACATCATTTCTGCCAAACCTCTCTGCCTTTCCTCCTGCTTTGCACAATCCCTGCTCCACCAGGACAGACCGCTCCTTAACTGTCTTCAAACTGACGCTCTGCTGCCTGTAAGGTGTCAGTGTTTGTTGACCTTGAGCAGATTTAAATAGCTTTTCCCTGAGCTTTGTTTTCCTCGTGGCTTGGCAGGAGCATGAATAAGCCTTCATTGTTGAGGTGAAGGTTAAAAAAACCATCCAAACCCCCAAAAATCACAAGGTCTTTTAAGCTGTATATCACATAGCAGTGATGATACAGTTGGGTTTGAAAGGAAGTTAACAAGATCACCCACTGTGATTAACCTTGCATGCCTTCTTTGGCTTCACTTTGCTCTTTGTACTCTGCTTGTGCTTATATGTTGGCATTAGATCACAAGTGCTGCTGTCACTAAAATACACCTTTTGTGTCCACCTCTGTTTGAATACCCTAATCTCTGAATTCTTTCAAGGCTGTGCTGCAGCAGACCGACCTCTTATTTTTTATTATAAAGAATAAGTGACAGTAGCTACAGAGGGGGCGCTGAGTCTCTGCACAGACAGACAGATATTTGTTTTATTTTAATTCTCAGTGACCTTTATTTTATCCTGATTCAATTGCTTACTCAAGGGCACCAGCATTTTTTGTGCCCTTAATGCATTAAACATTTTTCCAACTAAAGGAAGCGTCAGATATATCTCCTGTTGTCTTAAGAGTTACGATTAACCTTCAGCAGTGAATATGCCCAAGAGGAAGAATGTGAAAGTGGAAAGTGGATTTGTTTGTTGAGTGGAGAAAATAAAAATCCCTTGTGCTATGAACGTAGCAGTTTTAAACCCTCAGAGCCGAGGGATCTCCAGAATGTCAATTTTATTTTCTGGTAACTGTTCCTGACTTAATTTAATTAATGGGAAATGTACATAGCCACGTTTTTTTGTAAGTTAATAATGTTCAAGTAATTTTTGGATATGAGCATTTTCTGGTATGCTCTTGTTTGTGTACCTTCTTTAGGAGGCTCAAGTGTCTCTACACAGTACAGAAGTGTCCTCTGTTGTGAAGGTGCTGAGGCTTTGCAGATGGCTTGTAAGAAAATGAAAGAGATTAAAGAAGCAGGTTGTCAAGGTAGTGAAATACAAATTAACTACTTCCATCGTTCTCCACATTGATCTAAAAAACCCTGTTAAGTAGCCTTTGAAGACCAATCCCAAAATTTGAGCTGAAAATGTTCACTGAAGCCTTTGTTTCAGAATTCCCTGTTTTATTTATAAATAACACAGATGTATTTACTACAGTCACAGAATCCAATCTGTTTAAATTATTTTTAATTAAGCCTCCTAAATCAAAATTCTTGAGCTGATAATGAACTTCAGGGATTAAAAATAGTTTAAAAAAAATTACCCCAATATATGATCTAATTTTTCTGGACTATCAAATCCCATCCACCAACCAATGTCAGATAAGAGCCAGGAGACTTTAGCTTATATTGGAGCACAGCCATCAGGAATATCTACACTTTAGATATAGGAATATAAATCCTATAGATTTAGAATCCTATAGATTTCCACTGGTGGAAAAACTTCCCTATTAATTGAAAAATGGAATTTACCTTCACTGTTAAGGATCTGTTTTATATCATATGCCTGTCTTACTATCCAATTTTATCATTGAATAGAAATGTCAATTTTAAGGCAATTCATTATATTAAATATTTGGGCATTATGTTAAGGATCTGGGCTCTGACATGCCTTCATAGTTTATCCAGAGTTGTGCCCACAATTAATTTGGGTGAAATGTTTGATTTGGGGCAGAACTGAGAGGTTTGAGTGTACCCAGATCTGCTCATGACTAAGAAGTTTTCTTAAAAAGCAGGACTAGTAGGCAATACAGCCAGTTAGAGAGGTGCAAACAAGTCTGGAGTGACTGAAACCTTTTACAGTTTGGCCTTTGAGGCCAAAGCTGAATTATAGCAGGGAAATGCCTGCATTGCCAAGCCTTTCTCGTGACTGGCTGAGAGGTCAAAGTGAGCAGATCGGAACGGAGACTGCTCTAGATGCTTGCTCAGTGATTTTTCTTCTTTTTAGCTTTTCAAGTCACGCTGCTTTTTAAGGACTTTCTCCCTTCTGCTCTGCACTTCAGGTTTTCTTATTCTGTTCAGAGACAAATAAAGTACCACCAGCCATGACACTAACTAAGGAAAGTGTGGTGGGTGAGTGCAGCCTATTAAGTGCCTGAGGATTCATTCCCAATGCACTCCTTACATTATAACCATTTCCAATTTCAGTTTTCGGGTGCTTGGTTTAGTAGTGACAGACTGCAGAAAGCTGACTGATTAATGGCAGAAGACTTCTGCTCAAAACCCAATTTTCTATCAAGCTGGTTCTGATGGAAGAGATTTTCTGTGATTCCCCAAACAGCATGTATATAATTAAGAAAAAGCCCTTGTGGTTCTCAAGCCTCCAGCATTTGTGAGTGGTCTATAAATGTGCCTATTGCTCTAGTCCAATAATTTTTCTATTCATTATTTCATTTTAAGTAATACTGCAGCAAAACTAGATGTCTCGAATTATTATTCAGTATGCTTTCAGAGTGGCAAGCCAAAATGTCACAGGCTAGTGATAAACAAATATCTCCAAGTTATTAAATTTGTATATCTTGCTTGCTGCTTATTGTAATCTGTTCAATTTGCATTTTCTGTCCCTTGAAAATTTCCTTGATGACTGTTTGATATACCTGACACTGATTTCTTCAGTGTGAGGATGTTTCATTTATTAGCCTGTGCAAAGCTCATAGGTGGAGATTGGTATCTTGCTTCCGTTCTTATTTTTGAGCCTGTTTTTTTCATTTTTTGATGGGTGTCTGATGCACAAGCTTCCTCTGGTAATGCAGAAATAAAAAAGCCCCAAGCTGTGTGATCTCCCAGCCCACACAGCAGGGCTACAGAGAGGGCAGAGAGGTAGGTCTGCTGTTTCTTCGCCAAAGCACTCCAGGCTGGCACACCTCTGCACAGCCTGTTCCGTGCATGTAGTCACATCAGGCCTGCAGGGAGACTGGGAAAATGCCTCACTCTACCTTCAGATCTTCACCAGAATATCAGAAGTTTTCTTTACCTTTGTAGATGCTATTGGCCTGGGCTTTTTAAGATTATTTCTCTGTGGGTTTTTTCCTACTCATGCTTCTAAAACAAGAGCAAGCCTTTCTGTGTTTGTCTGACATGCAGCATACTTTCAGGAGCGTGACACAGACAAGAAGCATGGTTTTAAGATCGTCTTGTTGCAAGTAAATTCAGGAATCTCTCTCTTCAAGTGTTCCTCTGTTGTTCCTCATGTAAGATCAATCCTGACTGGAGGTAAAGACCTTTGATCTGCAGAAGTGCAGACTGCACAGGTTCAGCTATTTCAGTCCCATCTAGAGAGAATCATTTCATCTGGAAGCATTTCTTGTAGTATTCCCACGCTTGTGCTTTTGGCCTTAGACAAAAATGAAAGATCAGGACCTTAAAATCTGAGAACCAAGAGGTACCTCTCTTGTTGTTCTGTTGCACAACTTGCAGTGATCTGCTGCCGAAGAATAAGTAAAGTCAAAGCTTAGATAACGTTGCTTTCCAAAGAAATAAAATCTCTGTGGCTTCTTTTAAATTTGGTAAGAGCATCTTCGTATTCAGCACTCCTGAAAAATCAATCCACTGATTTGGGACGGGAACCTAAATAATAGGTTGGTAGAAGGTTAACAAACTCCCACAGATGCATTTGACTAAGAGAAACACAGGTGTGCAGGTTAGAGGGGGTGAAGAACTGGGAGGGAGTTGTGTTTAAGGTAGCCTGCACCTTCATCTGCCTTATGTGACTCAGTTTCCTACCTCCACAGGTTTTAGAGCATTTTCCCCACAGCAGCTGTTTTACAATAGGTGATCTGTGGTACCCAGGCATCAACTCCACATCAGGATTTAGGTTTCCAAGTGCAGGGCCTCCCATGAACATCACTAATGAGACTATTATAGGTCATAATTCTTTTCTTCTCAAAAGTTTTAAAGTAGAATAATTTTACTTACAATTCAAGAGGGATGCTTAGAAAATACCTTGCTTGGTCAAAAACTGCACTTCTACCTGTGATTTTCATGTCACTTGTGCCCACAGTTGTGCATAACTGGTTGGAAGCAGAGCTGAAGTGCCTGTGAATCTCTTCAATGTAAACTATATTTATGTTTGTGGGTGCTAACTTTGTAATGAATTGGACTTTCAAGTTTTAGAATGGTAAGGGAAGGCAGTGAATACTGAACAACACCCCACCCCACCTCCCTTTCCAAGTTCACACAGTCTTTAAATAAAGCAAATATTTTGCTAATTTTTATGTAATATGATGGTCTTCTAGTCCATTCTTGTCATTAAAGAAACACTGTCGTGGCAGGCTCTTCCTCTTCTATTTTAGCTGAATGAATAGCATCATATTCTGGGGGTTTCTTTCTGGGGAACTGCCATGCATGTCACTCTGCAAGGAGATGCAGAAGGTAGAATTTCTGTAAACTGATTTGAGACTTGAACAGTTGATCTCTAGTGAGAGCTGTCTGCTTATTCCTACTCCTGCCAAAGGCATCAGCTGAAGATTGTTGGTCCTCTTGCTTTCTGAAAGGGTGTAACTGAATGAAAGACAAAGTGTTTCATGTATCAAGAAAGGGTATTGCTTTGGGTTTTCTTTTCACTAATTCTCATCCAGATAGATTTTCAAGTCTGCTTTTATTTCAGCTCACAACTTCATCAGTTCTGAATGACCACATCAGCAAAATCTTTCTAAAAGTGCAGTATCTTTCCTTTGAGTGTCTTGCCAGAAACGGGAATGATTTCTCCCTTTACCTTAGAACTATGAAGAAAATTGTCTTTCATCAATCCCTCTTCCTCTCTACAAGACATCTCCTTGGATGACTCAGGTTCCCAAGGACTTTCTCAGCTCTTAGCTCAAGAGTTTAAGAAATCCTTTTCCAGCTTCTGGAGTTAACAAGCTAGTAACCAAACTGAGAGACTGAATAAAAATTTCATCCCTCTTAGTTTAATAGGGTTCCCTAGGAAATGTTTCATGTGTCAGAAAGTCAACAATTCGTGAAAAGCTAACTCTCTATAAATAATCAGCTGGGGGAAAAAAAGAGGATAGACAAGACTGGAATTTACAAATTTGAAGCAGGAAAAGATATAAACAGAAACAACTACCATTCGCTTCAGCTGTGCAATGTAAGTAAAGTGAGAAAGCTTCTTTGGTGCCTGAGAAAGGCACCATAGAACACAGATTTCCTCCATAAAATTCTTTACAAATCTTAAATAGTGAAAATCAAGGCAGGCAGGATTGTTTCCCACCAGTTTCAAGCACTAGACTTTTTCTTTTTTTCTGAAATAGGATAAGCTTAAAGACAAATAGGATCTGGGGCTAAATTAGAGCCTTCCATATATAAAAAAGCAACACTGGAAGTTACAGATTAAAAGAAGGAAAAAAAAATCAATCATTTTATTTAAAGGCTTCTGCCTACTCACAGGAGGACAGGGTTCAAATCTCATTCAAGTGATGAGTCCTCCCTGTAGGCAGAGCGACGCTGTGGTCATGGTTGTAAGGGATTTGACATGAGTGGGTTGTTCTTACTTTCACCAACAGAGAAGGCAGAGGCCTGGCTTGGGGATGCTTGTTTTGGATCCTGTCTGTCAAAAACTGAAAGCCCACTGAGATGTTTGGCTGTGGCTGAGGAGAGGGTGGTCTAGCGCAGCATTGCTGTGTCTGTGCAAATGAACCTGCCTGGTGCTGTTCTTACAGTCACTTCCCTGTGCTCTCCTAATGCCTAATTAGAAGCTGAGCAATTAGCTCAAAAAGCCTAAGCAGACTTTCCTTTTGGAAATTGGTGCCTTTGGTGTTACATAGACAAGGTGAGGCTGGCTGAGTTCCCAAGATCTTGTATGTAATAGGAAAGCAGCAGATAGTAGCAGTTTAATAAGGCCCCTTGATGCCCTTATCTGCTGGATAATAGCTTTAATTGACAGTTAATGTTTTCAGCTGCATAAACTTTTTTTGAATTATTATTTATGCTTCAGAGAAAGGTTACTCTTGATAACAGAATCTTTAACCTCAGATCTTAAGCATCTTTTTTAAAATCACAATTTGAGACAAGTAGGATGTTTTAGGGTTTTCTTGCTGGCTACAGAATCATGTAAATTAAAGCACCATAAATATACCTGTTTGAAGAGTTCTTAGCTTTGCCATTTCTATTTTTTGAATGATTGTGAGTTCCAAGGGAGTCATTTACCTTGTAAAAATAAAACCTCAGGCACCACAGTTACGTTGCTGCCCATCTCTGGGATCTTTGCAATGAGAGAAGTTCCTGTATGCTGTTGCACTTACAGCAGGTGTTCACAGACAGTTACATTCAATGCCCATTGGTCTGGGGCCTTGTTGAGGATGTATCATAATCATCATCAGGCTTATGGGGCACAGCTGTAAGTGATGGTGTTTATGCTGCTGCTGCTTCTGCCCATTCCTGTTGCCCTGGACTGTGGAGCTTGGTTGCTTAGAGACAGACTTGTGAGACAACAGTGGTGGTGATCTCTTGCCTCTCAGCAAATAAGGAGTGTTAATTTGTAGTTCATATAGTAGCTGAGTTTCTCTGTGGTTTATTAAATCCACTGTGTTTAGTGCGTTCTCTGAAAGCTTTCATTTAGCTGAGTTTTCCAGCTGCCTTAAAAGTGCGGCACAGCAGGCATCGGATGTGAGCTCTCAGAGCAGGGCACAGATTAATACCAAGTGTGACATTTGCAAGAGTGTTTAGGGGTATGCACTATGCCTGCATATTGCATTTCAAAAGCACTTAACCACTTGCCAGCCTTTTTATTTATCTCGAATTTCAAATTCCTGAGGGAGTTAGACTGAAAGGGAAGAGTTTTTATGCTTCCCTAAAATAACTGCTTGCATCTTATTCCATGCAAATTAACTCCCCCCACCCCCCAACTCCTCACACCGTAAATGTGCAGCAGACAGACTAAAAAAGCAGGGAACCTGACTCAGTACTGGGCTATCCCCAGTGCAATTCCTCTGTCTCTGTCTCCCTTTTCTAATCCAAGCCTCAAGTTTCTCCAGCCTCTTCCTTCCCTTCTCGCTGCGTTTTGCCCACCCTCACCTTCTCCAGTTATCCTGACAGAGCAGCCAACATTTGCAGAGCTCCTGGCCAGCCCTCAGCAATGAGGCACATGTGCCCTTCCTGTGGGCTGGTGGGTGCAGAATATTGCAGGTTATGTCACGTGTAAGGCAGAGTCTCACAGATAAGATCTTGTGAGCTACAGTCTACTGGGTATTATGACAGGAGAAAGCTGCTCTGTGTGTCATCAGGGAGGCAGCAAAGTGGCAAGGCTTATTTCGTTCTTATTTTCACTTTCAGTTCACAATTTACATACCCTCAAGGCATAAATTTTCCCTGCTTGTAACAGTTATTTTGAATGATAATGTCATTGCAAATTTCATTTTGCCTTTGCACAGGAAGACAGCAGCTGTTTTCTGCAAGGCAGAGAGATGTGCAGAGAAATTGTAATCTCTGCCACAATTCTTCAATACTGTACAACAGAGGCTTTAGGATCTGTCATTTGCTCAGAGTGGTGCCTGTTTGTGCAGCACCTAGCAGAATGATACTTGTTTTCTTGATACCTTTTTGGTGCTATCCAATTGAAATGTAGTAATAGAAGTCGCACAATGCAAATATGTTGCAGTTCATGTAAAGGGATGTAATTAGCAGTTCATGCTTGGGTTTTTAACTGTTGCATTCACTGGAAATGTTATTAGTGCAAGCAAGGGCAGTAAAATTTTTTCCCAAAATGTCTAGCTTTGCAGTGTCTGAGTACTTAGGTATGCAATAACTGGCAGGCTAACATTCTGTGTAAGACTGGGGGAGAATGAGCTCCTGCCAAATTCTTCCTAAATTTCTTCTTTCTTCCCTGAGCAGAGGGGAATTGCATTACCGTGATGATACGTGCACTCTCACTGGAAATCAGCCAGGTGGAAAGAAAAATAATAATGCTTTTTTCTGCATTACCTGTCTCAGGTGCTCAACACATGTCATTGTGAGGTGCATGGGCATGTAGGGAGTTCAGCAGTGACACGGGACTTGTTCTTGCCTCTCATAGAGACAGATGCATCCCAGAAATCATGCCATTTGGCAGAGATTTGGTGTCAGCTGGGAGCTCTGCTCAAGCCCAAGTAGTATCACCTCTGCTTGAGCTTTCCCATGCCATATGGACATGTCTGATGGAGAAGCAAGAAGAGATTTTCTAGGAGTAGTGAGAGGGCTGTAGCAACTCTTAGGGAGGGCATCTGTGTTTACTTGCTTTAGCACTTCATAGCAATCACAAATATATAAAGACCCTTTCTTATTTGTGGATGATTGCAGTCACCCCAGGTACATGCTGACAGGTTGATGGAAAAAGAGAAATAATACAACCTGTGAGAACTTTTGCATGGTACTCTAAAAAAGGGATAGGAACAACCAATCAAAACAATAGGTAGCTTTTGTCCTTCTTGTATGACTCTTCTGGGTATCATTGCTGGTGGATGTTGGGAATGCATTGACTTTTATCTGGTAACAAGTCACACTGGGGAGAAGATTCATGAGCAGAAAGAGCTCAGGTACAACTGTCAGTCCAGGGCAAGAAGTGGCTGATTTTGTGAATGACAGAGTCTTCTATCTTCCTCTCTGATGGAAAGTTCGTGTCTGTGATCTCTTCGCATAAAATCATAGTGGTGCCTTGGGCAGGACAGTATTTTAAGCTCTGACATCAGAGTCCATAGCTAGAGTTTGTCTCCCCAGCTAGAACACAGGGGGTGAGACCAGGCTTGCTAGGGATGAGCCTAGGGGTGACGTGCCAGAGTTAGGGGCAAAATCGGTAAGGAGGGCCAGGGAAAACCTCCATTCTTTATTGGGCTTGAAGGGGAATATAGTCGCCTAAGATGAAGAAAAGGCTGAAATGCCTTCTTTGCTTCAATCTTTAACAGAAAGATTGGTTATCCTCAAGGCAGCTGGCCCCCCGAGCTGCAAGAAGGGATGGGGAGCAGAACAGACCCCCTGTGATCCAGGAGGAGGTAGTTGGTGACCTGCTGAGCCACTTAGATGCTCACAAGTCTATGGGACCTAATGGGATCCATCCTAGGGTGCTGAGGGAGCTGGGGGAAGATCTCGCTAAGCTGCATCAGTCCTGGCTAATTGAGCAAGTCCTAGCCCAACTGGAGGTTGGCCGGTGTAATGCCCATCCCCAAGAAGGGTTGGAAGGAGGATCTGGGGAGCTACAGGCCTGTTGGCCTGACCTTGGTACCCGTCAGGGTTATGGAGCAGATCATCTTGAGTGTAATCAAATACAGGACAATCAGTGTATCAGGGCCAACCAGCAGGGATTTAGGAAAGGCAGGTCCCTCTTGACCAACCTGATGTCCTTTTATGACCACGTGACCCACCTAGTGGATGAAGGAAAGGCTGCATTCTCCTGGAGAAATTGGCAGCCCATGGCTTGTACAGGTGCACCCTTCTCTGGGTTAAGAACGGGCTGATGGAAGGGCCTAGAGAGTGGAGGTGAATGGTGCTGCATCCAGTTGATGTCTGGTCACTAGTGGTGTCCCCCAGGGATCAGTGTTGGGCCCAGTCCTGTTTAATATCTTTACTGATGATCTGGATGAGGGGATCGAATGCGCCCTCAGTAAACACGAAGAGTGTCTGGAGCAGAAAAGGACCTGGGAGTGATGGTCAACAGCAGGCTGAACGTGAGCCAGCAGTGTGCCCAGGTGGCCTAGAAGACCAATGGCATCCTGGCCTGTGTCAGGAACAGTGTGGCCAGCAGGACCAGGGAGCATTTCTTCCCCTGTACTCAGCACTGGTGAGGCCATATCTCAAATCCTTTACCCAGTTCTGGGCCCTTCAATTCAGGAAGGACATTGAGGTGCTGGAACGAGTCCAGAGAAGGTCAGTGAAGCTGGTGAAGGATCTGGAGCACAAGTCCTATGAGGAGCAGCTGAGGGAGCTGGGGGTGTTCAGCCTGGAGAAGGGGAGGCTCAGGGGAGACCCTCTCACTCTTTACAACTACCTGAAAAAGGTTGTAGCCAGGTGGGGGTCAGCCTGTTCTCCCAGGCAACCAGCAACAGGGTGGAGTTTTGGTTTGACATCAGGAAGAATTTCCTTCCAGAAGGGGTGATTGGACATTGGAATGTGCTGCCCAGGGAAGTGGTGGAGTCACTGTCACTGGAGGTATTTAAAGAAAGACTGGACATGTGCCGTGGTCTGGTTGACATGGTGGTGTTCTGTCATAGCTTGAACTCGATGATCTCCAAGGTCTTCTCCAACCTAATTGATTCTGTGATTCTGTGATCATTGACTTTACAACATGGGGATGTGCTCTAGCATCATGTAATCAACATCTGGTTGAACTTCAGTCGCTATCATGAACATAAAGGCTATTCGTACGTCTCCAGATTGACTTGATTCTGTTCCAAAAATTATTTGCTTTTCTCATTCTCAAAGTTTTCTTGGTCCTTGTTTAGGGTGACACAACAGGGGCACGCAGAGAAATTCAGCCCTGCTCCAAGTTATCCACAGTGTGTGGTCAGTCAAGTGGCTGAAAGAGGCCAAGGGCTGAAGCATTTAGAGATGGGGTTTGCTGCCTCTCTGAACATGGCTGCTCCAGTACTACCCAACTCCTGAGAGCACCAGAGCAACTCTGTATGGGTGTAGGATTGGCATTCATTTTGGTAGGCTTGGACTCAAGCTCCGTCTATGCAAGGAGTAGTTTCTAAGACACAGGGAAAATGATTCCTGCCCAAACCAAGCAACTGATTGCCCTTTTCACAGAACTGCTGATGACAAACCACTGTGCTTTAGCTGTCCCATACTCAGGTCTACAGTATAAATCTCCCAGTCCCTCATAATAGGATGGGCCTTTGGGTACTGGGTGGGAGGGGAACCACACACTCAGGGTTCCTGGGAAGGCAGTCAGGCAGTAGGAGAGAGTAGGAGGCTTGTACAAATCCAGCTACAGATGTAACAGAATTTGCAGCTGCTGGCATCCAGCTAAGCCCCTGCAAGGGGTAGAGGCAGACATCACAGCAACACCAGCTCTAGTGAAGCAGCTGCAGGGATCACTGCCCACCTGAATTAGGGGGATTTCTTTCCCCAGAAAGCCAGCAGTGTCACTGCTGTTTGAAGGATATATTATTTTACAGTCTGACTGTACATGCATGGACACAGTTATACAGAAGCTCAAACAACTACATGAGCTGCTTTTGTGTAAGTGCAAATAACAGTATGGCAGAATCGTTGCATGACTGAAAGTGGCCTAGGCCCAAAGCAGGATTGGGTTCTATGCTTTGGGCAGTAAGGTTATGTGCTTGTGCCAGATGGAGCTTTTAAATTTTCATCAGCAGGTTTATGAGCAGAAGAATACCCTTTTATCCGCCCCCAGGTCTTTTGCTAAGAAGCTGCAAATGCTGAACTTCAATTAGCATGGAGTGGAGTTGCAGATGAAATAATACACTTTCTTACTGTTGATTATATATCATGTGAGAGTAAAATAGAGATGTGAATAATGACCTGTTTCAGTTTTTGGAGCTTTTCTGTTGTTTTTTTTCCTCCCTTTAATGCTTTGTAATATAATTATGTGAAAATAGCTAAAAATAATGAGCCAGATTCTCTGGTGATTAAATTCTATTACAAGCAAACAGAGGGAGAGTTTTGAGCCCTGCTCATCTTTGCATTGACTTCTGTAGGTGCTGGGCCAAACCAGGGCAAAGGTGTGTGACAGCTGTGTTGTTAAGTTCGCCATGGAGGTACTTTACAAAAGAATTTACAAAACTGCATTTTTCCTGCTGCTGAGAGATGGCCAGAGAGGTCTAAGCTTTGAAGCAACATTGTGTGTTATCAGGCAATCCCAGTTTTCTTGAGGGGTGCAGGTGCATGGGGAGGCAAAGGAATTGGTTAATTGAGTGCTGTCTTTGCCTTTAGCAGCACATTTGCTGGCCTACAATGTGTGCTGTACCTGTGCCCCAGCTGAGAAGCTCTTTCTGGACCCTGCAGGCATCCAGCTGCTGTGCTTGTTCCCTGTGCTTTATGAGTCATTCAGGTTTCAACAGCAGTTTCAGCTCTTTAGAGGGTGTTGAGTAAGGTTCTCTACCTGAACTGATATCTCTTAGGGAGGAAAAGGTCAGTCTTGGCACATAGTTGGAGAATACGCTGGGAAGTTGTCAGGAAAGCTGAGGAAAGGTGCAACTTTGTGAGGTACAGATTGCTTGTGGGAATTCTGCATTCAACCCTTTCATGTCACAGAAACATAGAATCGTGGAATGTTAAGGGGTTGGCATGGACCTTAAACACTGTGTAGTCCCAAACCCCCTGCTGTGTGCAGGGACACGTCCCTCTAGACCAGGTTGCTCAAGGCCTTATCCAACCTGGCTTTGAACACTGCCAGGGTTGGGGCATCCAATCCTGTTGGATGTCTTACCTTAAGGAGGCTTTGCTGGAAAAGTAATCCATTGAGAACATAGAGCCTACTGTTGGAAAACAGAGATACGTAAATTTGAATAGTAACCGAAAGAAAACTGTTCTCCCGATAATAACAATTGAGTATGTTGTGATGAATCGAACCCCAGTATATACCCCTGAAATACTTATTGGTCTTTTCTTTGGTGGATTGTGCTTCAACAGAGGGTGTCTGCTCTGTAGGCCACACTGGCTTTAGAATAAAATAGAGTAGAATCGTTTAAGTTGGAAAAAAATCTAAGATCATTGAGTCCAGCCATAAACCTCATAATGCCAAACCCACCACTAAACCATGTATTCAAGTGCCACATCTACACATTGTTTAAATACCTCCAGGGATGGTGAGTCAACCACTTCCCTGGGCAGCCTTTTTCAATATTTGAGAACCCTTTCCATGAAGAAATTTTTCCTAGTAGCCAAACTAAGATCACAGGAGAGCAGCATTGCAAAGGGCTCCCCTGACACCATGAAACCAGGAGGAATTTTTCTCTTACCCTGGTCATGTAGGCTTGATACTTGTAGCTGGAGGCAGCTGCTGCTCTTTTACAAAACGTGGCTATGAGCAAGAAGACAGCACAGGGCTTTACAATTGCCACAGGACTCTTGAGTGCAAATGCCCCTAGATTCAATTATCAGAGATGCATGAGGCTTCGGTTCTAGCTTAGCACAGGCACCCAGGCTGAGAGATTGTTGAGGAAAAATGGATCTGTTCTTTGATTTGCCATTCTTCTAGCATATATCACTGTTAAAAGAGGGCCACCAAGCGTTTCTTTGTACTGCATTGGAAGTGACACATTGCAAGAGGAGGAGAAGTTCTATTTAAAATGGCATAATCAGAGATTAAGTGAAATTGAAGCGAAATATCGAAGATAGGAAGTAGGGAGAGAAAGAAAGAGGCAATGTACAGTGTGGCTACACAGACATCTTAATTTCATTTTAATGAATCTCTGCTCAGAAAGGGAAAGGTAGCTATTTGTGTACCAGGAGGCAAAGAACAGCCTTCTGCCACACACTGAGATTTCCTTTGAACATGGTCTCTTATCGAAATGAAGGACTTCACTCTGCTTCATATTTCACAGAATTAGAAAAGACCAAGCTATTTTCTGATTCCCTGCATCCTGCTTATGTAACTTGCAGATGACAAGGCTGTGCAACCTCTTGCTGAGCCCTGGAAAATTTCCTTGTCGGTGAGTCAGGTGCTTGGCAAACATTCTGGCGCAGAGGGCTTGGAGATGACAGTGACGTTAGAGGTGTTACCTGGGTACCAGAGCCCAGTTCAGAGGCTCTTCCTACTAGAAGTGTGCTGACCACCCCGATCTTGTCATTGCCAAGTGTATCTGTTCTGCTGTATTGTGTCTCTGCTATGTGTAATAACCATGTGCAAGTACAAACATCCCCCTGGATTGCACTGAAGCAGAAGAAAGCCATAGCCCCGATGGTTATCTAGGGATGTGGGTCAGCAAGGAAGGGGGGAGAAGAGCTAGGCGAGAACGAGTCCTCAACCTTTACGTGAATTTTCTCTATAAAAATTCCTTCAGGGTGTGGGGAGAACATTTAGTGCAGCAGGGCTGCAAAAGTGGGACTTCTAGGGAAGCACAGGGTCCCCCTTTTCAGTCTGCATTCTAAAACTCCATGCAGTCACCATCACAGCGTTGTTTTGGAAGCTGTAGATCTGACTGAAAGCTAGAGGACAGGATTGCATGTTGTGCTGTAGGACCCAAGTTGAGAATTATGAAAAGGGAAGGATTAGACCGAGGGATGAGGGGAGAAAACTGAAAGAGATGCAGAACTGTTTCAGTGGCAAACCAGTGGGTCAGCTGCAGCAGATCCCAATTACTACCTCTTTGGAAGTATGACTGAGAGGAGCCAGGAGGTTTGTACCACCAACTAGGTTCAGTCACTGCAGAGTATCAAGGCTGGGACAACTGTGAGATCCCCAAATACAGTCCATCCTATCTCAGTCTATGCAGCAAAGCTCCCTGGCAGTCCAGCCATGTTTAGAGCAATATTTAGCTTGGTGGTGCAAAAGCCTTTTTGCCAGACTGCGGTGGGAGGGGGACAAAACGAGATTTTGCCACAGGGATGACCTGGTGACTAATGATTTTCATTGATCATATGCTTGCAGGAGAGAGCACTCTATCATCTGCAGTTCCTGTAGGCTTCTCCGATGAAGGCTCTGAGAAAGCAAATGTGAGATGTTACCCAAAAGCAAGGCTGTGTGAGCCCACAGAACCTGACAATGCTGTGCCCTCATGGATGTATGAACGGGACAGCGCTGATGACCCTAGCATCAGGAAATCTCTCGATGACTTCTACAAGATGTATTGCAAAAAACAACCAAGGAGAATGGATCCGACTTACGAGACTGCATCGCGGTGTCTGTCTCAGAAGATTCTGAAGCTGGCAAACCGGGATGGAACTAAATACACGTCACGTTGCCTACAAGTGGCACAGTTGGTCTTGAACAGAGATGGGTGCAAGATCTTTCCAAACCACCCTACTTCTGCCTGTTTTTCGAAGCCAGCTGAAGGAGCAGTCTTGTTGGAAGACAGAAAGAGAACACCTGGGCTCTCAGATGACATCCTGCAATTCCTCTTGAAACAAACACGGGCAGAACATAGCCCTGACGTGTCACACGAGAAGTGAGCAAGACAGTGGTTTGTTTCTGTCATTGTAGCTTTGCTTTCACTCTAAAAAGAGGTGTCTTTCTTAGAAAGACACTCTTCTCCTTGCATCACCTTCAACACCAGACACTCCATGGAGGGGTTCACCTGGAGCAGACCTTGCTGCCTTGTTCTCTGCAGGGCAGCTCTGCACAAGGAGCACCTGTGGTCCCCATGTAACTGCTTGGGATGTGTGACTAATCGGGATGGGTGATGCAGTGTTTGTTGCTGTGACATCAAACATGATAATTTAAATCTGCCAGGCTTTTAAATTGACCTACATCCCTACCCCAGCTGAATCGTGGCCCTGCCCAAATTCAGCCCCTGTGTAGGCATGGATGTCCAAGTGCTATTGATTATAACAGACTGTTAGAATGAACTTGGCATGGTATGCCCCAGAGCTAGAGAGGGAAGCTTAACATTTTATTCTGTTCCTGGCTGATACTATAACGTGTATGCCTCCACTGGGGTGCCTGTTAGCTGTATGTGTTTACCTACAGACATATGATCCCACAGATCATGACTGCAGGGCAGGTGAGCTTTTCCAAGAGAAAAAGTGTGTATGTGCATGAGAAAGAGAAAATAACAGCTTCTGAGCATGTTCCATGACAGCACTTTGGTCCTTTTTACCATCACCCCTCCAACAAACTTCAGTTCTTTTCCGTCTTTCATGATGGTGCTAATGAGATCCCTGGAGGAATGCTCCCTTTAAAATGAAACAGATCTCTCCGAGTCCAAGAAGGCTGACGTCAGTCAGCAGCAGAGCAGTGAACCCACGCACAACCACCTGAGGTCTCTCTCTTGGAGGCTCTCCTTGCTCAGTGGCTTCTTTGCTGCCTTGCTCCCTCTTCCGGGCAGACAAATGTCCTTGTGCTTGTTTTCCACCCACTGGCTTGTCCCCTGAAAGAGAGGTTTGCTGTAGTGATGTTGCCTGCTGACTGGGGAGGTCATTCTCCAGTGTGGATGTGATCAAAGAAGCACAGAGTGCAAGAGGATGGGATGTGCTTAGGGTGACAACATGTGGGCAGGGCAAAGAAGAAAGGACGGACAGTCAGGGTCTCAAAGGTTACCATTAAGGCTCTCAGCTAATGTGGTTAGTCCAGTACAGCCACACTGTTTACACCAGTTTTAGTATTTGATCTTCACCATTTCAGTTTGGAGACAGTTCTTATCTTGCCAGCCCAGTTGCTGAACCCTCTGATCAGTTCCATTTCCATGCTGGCCAGATATCATGATGGATTTTGGTGTTCATGCACACCAGATTCCCTGCTTCAGTTCCACACAGGGCTCCTATTCCTGCCTTGCTGCCCCTGGCAGATTGGCACAGCAGCTGTGCTCTGCAGGTGTTTTCCAGCATAGGCAATGGAAATTTGGCTGCTGGCTTTATTCAGAACAGGAAGAGGCCCTGCTGGCCCAGCTGGCTGCAAGTTATGGCCAAGATCTTAGGTCTCCGTGCAAATAGATTTATACTGGAACTGCGTGGTTTAGTTTGCTGTCCTTGAATCATCATGGAACTGATACACCTGGCTTCTTGGTGGTTCTGCTTGGTGTTTAGCTTGCTTGCTTTTATGGCAGAGGTGTGGTACATGTGCTGGAGGGCACACAAAATATTGGAGCAGGCCCTCAGCTGCTCCCCTGCTACTCAAGTTAATGGTGCTTGGGAAAAAAGAGTTGAGATGAGAATGCAACATCAGTTCTGTAGCAGCAAATAAATCCAGAGGTGCTGGTGCGTCAGAATCCAGATGAAAGCATTCTGCATGCAAAAATTATAGACAAAGGTAATACCAACTAGTTTGGCAACAGATACAGCTGGAAAAAGCAAACATGCTCCTGAGTGTGCCGTCAGTAATTACAGTAACACTACTGACCTCTCCCTGCCAGCTCACGTTGCTTAACCACCACAGATCTGTCACAGCTACAAGGGCATGAATACTGACAGATATAGGGAGCTATTGCTAAGGAGGGACAGGGAAGAAGGAAAATCTTCAGCGTGAATCAAAAGGTGTTGCTTTTAATTTTCTGCCAGCATTTGTGCTGTTCCACACAGTTAAATTAGTTGCTGTACCACACCCTTTAACTGCCATTTTAAGGGAAATAACCTCCCATGAAGACAGGGATTGAGAAATCAGAGGTCTGCATCTGAATCCCTTTAGTTACTGTATTTGGTTTAGTGATGAACTGGTCTGTTGTTTGGGTTAGCTTTGAAACCATCTAGTCTCCTATTCAGAATTTTCTTTAATAAAGACCAAAGATTTGCAATTTCCACAAAGAAAGCTTGCCACAAAATATGAAGTTCCTGTTCTTTAGTAGAGTCCTGCTGCTGCTCATGTTTGAGAGATACCTACTGGGTTTTGATGGAAAAGAAGCCCTGATTGACTCTAGTCTGACCCCAGATTAGCTCTAGAGACAGACTGAGTTTTCCCCACTCGTAACAAATGTGATGTGTCTGCCTGGAGCCCCTCTTTGGGGTGTACACAGGGTGTTCCTCCTGAAGCCTGATTAACCTGAGCTGCCATAGTTTTATCCCCTTTTTGAATAAGATATAAAAACATTCAAGGGAATAGCTGTTAATTTGTATCAAGTGTTTTAAATGATGGTGAAATGCACACCAGGGGCCTTCAGTGAGCTCATTCTGCTTCAGCTCCTCTGGGCTCTTCTCAGCCACTGCCTTCAACATCCCAGTTTTCTCGTTAGAAATTTCTGGAGCAGCAAGAAAAGAGATAAGAGGACTCATTACTCTTGAACCCTTTAGGTAATGAGATGCAAGCAGTGACAAAATAAAGAATGGGTGGCTGCTGAAAGAGCATGAAGATAGATACTGGCAGAGGGAAGCGTGAAACTCTTCAATTTTAAAGACCAACGTAGGCAGAGCAGACTGGATGCAGCTGAAAAATCTGGATTATGACTCATATCTACAAATCTTGGCTGGCATCTTGCAGAGGACATGGTAAGCTCTGTGCTAATGAAGCATGCAGTCTTTTGAAAAGTTTGCACCCCCTGCAGTCAGGAGCGCCTGCAGTTTTGTGTGCTGCTCACTTCCAGTGTCCTGGAGGTATGGCCACACATGGCTTCTTTGAGGTGAAAAGACAGCCTTTTTGCATGTGAAGTACCAACAGTAGTACAAAACCCTCTGCCCATTTCTCCCCAACCTGTGCAATAATCTCTGGGAAACTGTTTTTTTCCTGAGGAGTGAAGTGCTTTCCTCTCTCCCTGGTTTGCCCTTGACTTAGCTTTGACACTTCTATGCTTTCAGCACTTATCAGAGCACAAATCATCTTCTCAGAGGCCCTTCGCTGTTGGGTTCTCTCCACTCACTTTGTTTGCTTCTCTGCCTTACCCCATCACTTCATTTTTTTCCTCCACTGCAGTATATAAGGCAGGAAATAACCTGTTTTCCTGAAGGCGAGGAACCAGGTGATGCTGGACCGTGTTGTACCCAAACATGCTCCACTACCCTGAGCTGCTTTGGTTCAGCTTTCAAAAGTAAGACTCAACTGTAACCACTGAACATTTGGCTGCCAGGCAGAAATATGCACCTGAAGTTACAGCCTCCGTGGAACTCCCCTGCCAGTTGCTGCCTGTGCTGTGCACACACTGGTCAAGGTGTCCTTCAAGTTGCCCCTTTGTGCATTCCTCTGAGTTGTTGTCTTTCTCCTGCTCTAGGACAAGCACAGTTTGCTGCACAGCAGGACTGGCTGAGCAGAGCTGCCCATCAGGGTAGTCCTGCGTACTCCCAGTGCCCCTCTGCCCTTCTCCTTCTTGCCTGCTTTAAGACCTGTAGGTGGGAATTTTCCCAGCTTTCCCTAAATAATGGTGCTGTGGCTCAAGAGGAGGAAGAGCAGGGACTCTTGATTCCTTTGCTTTCCTTCCAGGGAATGTTTTCCCGTTTGTGATCCTCCTGAGGAAAGAGGCTCTGATGGACTTGAACTGGGCAGTGTTCTAGATGGGGAACTCACCCTAACTCCCCAATTTGCTGGTTTCCCCAGCACTGATGGTTCTCACTTCCACTGCCAAAGCCAGCTGCTGTCACCTCTGTTCATCCCCTGTGCTCTGGTAGCATGTGGAGGCTGCTTTTGCAAAGGCATTTGGTGGCTTACATTGCGGAACAAATGCAAGGTTTTTTTTTCCTTCTGCTTGTTCAACGCTCACAGCAGAGGGCCAGCTCTGAGCCTAGCTTAGGACACCACCTGAAAACCTACAACACCTTTCAGGGCTGTGGGTGTACAAGACCCCTCAAGATCTTCAAGTGAAATGTGTAAGTGAAGATGGGGAATAACATCACTCCTATAGGGTATGACAAGAAGGCCAAAATTGATCTGTCATTGCCAAGTAGTAAGAGCACAGGACATGGTGAGGACTTGACAGCCATTTCCTAGAGATTTTTCTGATGCATAGCCCAGGTCCAAATCCCACCCAAGATCTGTTAGAGATGTGTGCACTTTGGATTGGGTATTTTCCACCTGAGCTGGACCAGCGTCCTTCAGAGTCTCAGAGAGGTGACTCATACTGCTGCAGGCACAAAGCCCTCTGCCCATGCACTGCAGATACCTGAGTTGCCTTGGGGCTCATCTTTGGACTAGGTCTGGCAGGCTGCGAGTGCCGCCTCTGTTCCCAGAATACATAAATGCCTGATCCAAACTCTTTTGTCATCCTTGATGAATCCTCCTGCTATTAAGTCATTCCCCGCTTTCCTCAGCTCAGAGCTTCTCCAGAATGTTTGGTATCAATGGTCTCTCTGATGCTTACTCCATGAGAATTTTTATTTTCCCTTCCCACACGGCTGCCAGTGGGAGGTACTGATACGTGCCAACGACCTTCCCAGTCCTGGAGCCCAGAGGCAGCCAGGGAGAGAGCTGACTGAGCTCCTGCGAGAGGCAGAGGCTGAAGCAGGTCCTCAGCAGGTGTCACTGAAGTGAGTGGAGACAGGGCCATTTACACTAGTGGAGGATTTTCCCCCAGGAGCTTGAGGTGTTGGTATGCCTGGATATTTTCAGGACATATAGTTGTTAAATTCGATGTACAACAGGTGGTATACATCCTGTATAAATGTGTCTGTTGGGATTGGTGATTTTGTGGGGGGCATATGTTTTCCCGTAATGTAGAAGTTCACTTTAAAAATACCCTCTTCTGTAGGCTTTCCCTAATGACTATTTTCCCACACACATCCATTAGGCAACAACATATGCCAGCATTTCTTCCTTAAAAGTAAAATCTGGCACATACATTACACACAGAGCATGAAATAATAAGATGTGATTAAAACAGTAGCTGGAGCTAATCAAAGCCAGAAAATCGTGGCTGAAAGGTCAAACTTTATTTAAATTGCCTTTGCAATGGCCTCTTTGTTTGCAGGTGCTGTGAATTGAGAGGAAAAGTCTTGTAATGAAAGAACATCTGTCGTGGAAAATTTCACCTTCAGTTCAAGCTGAAAAAACTTTCACTTGCCCTAGAAGGTGGGTACTTGTAATGGGAAATGTCAGTCAGCCTTAGGGCGAGTGACACTATCCAGCATTGTCTGCATTTCTGGGTAAGATAGAGTACATGAGCCAGAAATGCTGCTAAACGGGTGCTAAGATCAGCACCTCCCAGCCAGAGAAGCGGGATGATTCTGTGGTTACAGATACTGAGGTGGGGATGCTATGCCCTGCAACATATTTTCAGGGTGCCTGTCATAGTTCTGATTTTAGCAAGGAATTTTTCTTTCCCATCCCCCTGCCCTGTGTGCTTTGTGTATGGGCCATCAGGTGAACAAAAGAATCGGCCTTGTCCACTGATGGCCGAGAGATTAGTCTCCTTGACAATGAAGGGGGAGGAGTTGGGGGGGGCTAGTGTGTGTGGCAAGGAGGGAGGTTGGGAGGAGGGGCTGGGTGTCAGCTCAGTTCTCTGCTCTCAGCAGAGCCTGCTGCGAGCTGCAGGTGCTGCCTGGTTCTTTTTCTTTCCTGTCGGAGGGGAGTTTGCTGCTGCTCTCTGCTCAGCTGTTGCTGGCTGCAGGCCCTGCTTAAAGCGAACCCTAACCAGCTGAAGTTTGTGAGTTTTCTTCCATTGGGAGAACTTTCTGTTTTATTGCTGGTTTTTTCCTTGCCCCTTCCCCCCCCTCCCCCCCTTTTTTTTTCCGGTGTGGGAAGGGAAGGGGAATTGAGGTTTTTTTTGTGTTTTCTCCGATATACCCTGGGGGGGTGTTGCTTTTTCCCCTTCCCCCAACCCACCTGGCGGCAACCAAGGATCTCACAGCGCCGCCTGGTGACAGGCACTGGACATTACAAGTTCTGCACCTCCAGTGACCCAACAGCGCCACCTGGTGAATGGTACAGGACATTACAAGTTTTGCATCTCCAGTGACCCAACGGTGCCCCCTGCTGACTGTGGTTGGAACTGCCCCCAAAGGGTGCAAAAAAGTGAACTATTTAATTTTCCTTTTGCCAGTTTATTGGGTTTGTTCTTGAAGGGTATATTATTGGTGGGTATAGGAGTATTGCTTGGTTGTTTTACTTGTTTTTTTTTTTTTCGTGTTCCTGTTAATACACACATACCTTTAATAAAGGACTGTTATTTTCCCTTTTCCATAATTTGTTTTCCTTCAATCGAAGCCTCTTAATTTCGGATTTATAATTGCTTAGAAAGAGAAGTTTGGGTCTTTTTCTCCTAATCCATCCTCAGCAAAAGACCCTTGTCTCATTTAAACTGGGACAGTGCCTTTCACTAACTGGTTGGTTCTAAGTTTCCAGCAGCTTGTTTTGGGTATCTGGGCGCTTCGGAGAAAGAGTGAGAGGGCAGGACATATACACTTACATCTTTGTCTAACAGCAACTCCTCTCAGAAGACTGCAGCTAGAGGCTGAAATAATAATAGAGATTTTGTGTCTGTGGTCCGGGCCACTTGTTTAACAAGCAGCTCAGCATGTGTTCTGTGAGGCCAGCTTGTGTTTGCATCCTTACCTCCTCATTTCTTGCTGGATTTGGCTGGTCCCTGAGAGAGCATCACTGCTCTGGGCATGGACTGGGGGCTGAAGGAGTGAGGACACAGCCAAAGGTGACCATAAGATAACTGCTTATGTGTTCTTTTAAAACACGTCTTTCCTCCATGGGATAGCTGGATGTACAGAGGAGTTGCTGTGTTTTGTATTTAGGGCTGGCTTATTTTTCTGATCTGTGTTCTCACTCAGGAGAAAGGAAAGGCTGATCTTTGGCTTGAGATATTGGTGCTGTAAAGCAGAAAGAGGTGCCCGCAAGTGGAGTTCCACATGTAGTGATGAGAAAGGTGTGTGTGTGTAGACAAGTCCCATGTCTATGTTTCTGTCTCTGGGAGTGTTAATGCTGCTTGTCTGGTGTTCAAGAACAGACTTAATGGCATGTGAATTCCTGAGAAAAAAAAAAATCTCCTGGGATGAGAAGATACAGATTGCTATTTTAAGGCTGGAAGAATCTTACCAAAGGCAGCAGTGAATTATTTAGACTCAAAATGCAGTGGTGTGCTGGACAAGGATCAGACTGATTTCTGTGCCACTTCCTCCTGTTCCCACTTCCACGGGGTGCTAGTGCTTGATGAGAGGAGATGGTGTCAGCACCCAGCCTGCTACAAGGGGAAAGAAATGGAGTTGATAAAGTCCAGACTTTAGTATTTGAGTGCAGCAGGCACCCTTGACAGCCCTGATTGTCCTTAGAGCTACTCAGCCTGGGTGGGACAGTCATCCATATGCAGTGCTTGGTCAGCCTTGGGTGCTCTTAACCTTGAAAGGAGATATCCTCTTAACTTTGTTCGCAGTGTGATTTTGCCACACTTGGTCCATTTGAGCCTAAATTTTCCAACTGAGGCATCCACTCAACTTGAATCCGCCTGGAGGAGGAGGAGGAGGCACGTGAAAACTGTTTTTTTCCAAAGCCAGAATGTGACACTTTGCAAGCTCAGTATGTCTCATGTGAAAGTTGGCAAAACCACCCACTGTGGCTTCCTCTTTCTCATATCCAGGGTTGTAGAGTGTCTTTCATGGTCGCTTTTTCGGCTTTTCATGTTTGCATCACCTTTCCACCCTGAGGGTTACTAGACAAATTTACACTGACAGAGTATCTTCCAGGTATTTTCATTTCCTAAGGCTGCCTTTAAGCTTAAGCCTCTTAAGCCTTTTTTTGTAAGCACACAGTATTTCACACTAAGAGCCTAAAGGTCTTAAAATTGGGATATATTATTATATATATAAAATATTATATTATAGAGGGGAAATTATATATTATAGGGGAAAGAGATTGTAGCAAAATCTCCTCTTGCTTTTCGTAGGTTTTGCTTTCTCTTTCATAGGGTCTTTTTGCAGCTGGGTTTCTGTTCTTAGTGCCAGTGGGGATTAAAAAGGAGGTGATGGCAAATTTTTTTGGTGGTTCCTTTTGCTGTGTGAGTACGGCTGTCATGAAGTAGATCTCTGTGTTTTCAGTCTGGAATTATGTGCAAGGGCATAATTGGATTTTTTGTTTTTTTTTCAGTACATACGTCATTCAGTAATAAAACTTTTACTTTGAAACAATTTCAGTCTGTTGCAGAAATCTATATATTTTTATTTCACAAAATAGAAATTTGCCTCTGAAATTTCCATGACACTATCAACAATAGTATAATATTGTTCTTACAAAACAGAACCCTTGCTGAGAGTCAAAGTACTATAAATATTTAAAGAAATTAATTACTAAGTAAGACAGACTAGCGCCCCAGTCTTTAAATATTAAATGGAACATATATAGTTGACAAAATGCAGGCAGAAACACTGAATGGGGCAATTTAATTGCCTAAATGAAATTATTTACAATGCAAAGGCAACTGTTAAAGTCATTTTTGCTTAATGAGAAGCAGTACTCAAAATACGAGAGCTTAAGTCAGCTTTTTTCTGCTTGCTGAAAGAAATTTCTCTCCTGTTTTACACTCTACTGTACAAGACCCAAAATTCACCATGAGGTTACCGGTGTGATTAATTGTATACTTTAAAAAAAAAAAAAAAAAAGCAGGGGTGGTTGGGCAGGGGAGGCACCTGGGGCTGTGGAAGTGGCTTCTGTTGTCAGCAAGGCAATTTCATTATAGCCAAGACTAGGAGAAGATTTAGTCATAGCCAAATTTGTAAAGCCATGAGTAATCATGTAAGGGCTTCTTAGGCCCCTGGTGCCTTTTAGCTTGCTGGTCGGTTTGTCTGGAGTGGTAGGTTTTGACCAGGACTCCAGCAGATCATCTTCTGGCAGCAGATCAGGTTAGAAGTGGCAGCACAGGCAAAATGAAGAGTCGCGTGACTAAAACTCCCAGCGGTGCAACAGTATTAGGCAAATTCCAACCTTCAGGAGGAAATGTGCATGTTATTTCACATCAGTGTCATCCTTCCCCTGGTAATTCCCAGTGTAATTCCAAGAGCTAAGCTGCGTTTACTGCCTGTAGCAAGCGAGGTCAGCGAGCTGCTATCAGGGAGGACCTTGGTGGCAATCATGCTGACAGTGCAGTATGGAAAAATTGTCCTTTGTTCCCTATGTCCCAAAGGCTGCTTTTTGTTTATGTATTTATTTTTGTATTGCAGCATAATCTAGTTTTCTGCCATCTGAGCTAACAAGCACTGAGGGAGCAATGTGCGTGTGAGCAGCATGTGTGAAGATGTTCATGTGGAAAACCTGGGATGTTGGGGAAATGGTTGTGTTTATACTTGATCTGCCCTCTCTCGCCTTTGTTTTGGGTTTGGCTTCCTTTTGTGTTTGGTTTTGTGTTTTGGTTTTTTTTTATTCTGGTAATATGTTTACAGGTTCTGTAGCCTGTGAGTGTATCCAGAGGCCCTGAAGATTTATATTAGCTAGCCCAGGGCTTTCTCCAGAAGACCACAGCAGTCTGTGCGTGTATTTTTCATATCCCTTAACAGTTATGACAGGTCTTGTAGGCAGATTTTGAACCTCCTTTTAGTCTCTCCATATAATATTTAACCTTATTTCTGTGGCATAGATACATCACTGAAGAACTGGAGCTAGAAGGATCCTGCATGGAGGATAAGAGGGTTACAAGTGAGCAAAATCTGCTGCTTTTTTAAAGACCAAGAAAGACAATTCAAGGAGTTGCACTGAACTTCTAAGGTTCTTTTGATTCTGAAGCTGTAAATTCTTTGTGTTTCATTTGAAGAAAGTTTTTTACACTAAAGAGAGGCTTTGACTGGAGGCATGTAGAGGTTTGGCATGTATATGGGCACATGCACCCCTGGAGGGTTGTCCCTTCTGCTTCGCTGGCCCATGTTTGGATCCAGTGTGGATGAGATCCAGCTGAGCACTGGCCTGTTCCCTCTCCAGTGGATGTGTGCGATGGATTTTAATTCCTCTGAAGTCTGTCACCATATGAACTAAGAGGCACCTGATCCTGCTTCACTGTAGAGCCACTAAGATGATGACTCAGTTCCTGGGGTATAGTTCAACTCTGTGTTGCACCACCTTGAAGCCACTGTAACAGCTGGTGGGTAGATACACGTGTAGGGTGATGTATAGAAGCAGCAAAGGCTGAGCATCTGTGCAGATCCATTATCTGTTGTGTTGCAACTAGCATTGCATGTGGTAAGACCTCTGAAAGGATTTTTGTTGCTTTTACTGAAACTGGAGAGATGGTGTCGCTTAGGTGTTGGCTTTTCCAATTCAATTGTTTTTGTCCAGATCCATCCCCTTAGCACATTCTGAATGAAAGAGCTGAGTTTGCTCACGAGATAGGCTGCAGTATTTTAATTCCATGAAAACTATTTGGCACCCAAGAATGAAGATAATCCCAGTAGAACATCTAATTAGAAGAGCAATCCTCATATTCCCCAAGCAGTCCCCTCTTGATTTAGTTCAGACACAGAAATTTGCTTGTCATCCTTTGAAGTTCTAGCTTCTAGAATGAACCAGATGTGTAATTTTATTAAAGCATTTGTATTTTAGAGAATCCAGCAGAATAAATACTGTTTATTCATAGATTGTCACAACATTATGAGGCATGTATATCACTGCAGTCAAAGTACTGACACATCTGAGAAGGGAGGTTTGGGGTGTGCCACTCACAACTGATCAAGTAAAATACTCCACTGCCTGCAGTAATCCTGATTTAGTGCAGTGACATCTTGCTCCTACTCTGAGGGGAAACTCATCCCAGCTCATACCTGGCTGCAAGAGTCCGTGTGAAGCAGCATTGTTTTGAATATAGAGTCTGACTGAATTAACTGTGGGCAAGATGCTTGGATGCTCTGGTTTTCCAGTGCTGGCAAAAAGTCTGCTGGATCATGTTTTGAAATCCTGCCCTGAAGATGGAATTAGATATATACTCCAGCCAGTTCTGTCCCTGAACCTGTAACAGACCTCCTGCAAGGCTTGCAAATCTTTGTAATTTCAATTCTGATCAAATCTGATGGCATGAACTTGTGCTCCTGTGTAGACCCTGATGGCAAAACATTCCCCAGCAGTGCTTTGACATTTGCCAATGGCAGATGAAAGACTTCTTGGTTCTTCAGGATCAGCCCACACAATGCTGAGATGAGGGAGTATTTCAGAGAAATCCTGCAAGTCAAATACAAACCAACTGTCACAAAGAAAACAGCTGTGAAGCCCCCGTGATTCCTGCTGTGGTGCAGGGGATGGATTAGGAGCCATGTGAAGCAGGGGTGTGGGCCTGCCTGCAGCAAGAAGAATTCTGTAGTGGTGGTTGTAGTGACCGCCAAAGGGACTTGTGCAATACAGGTACTTAGTGTCAGTACTTCATAGAAACTAAAATACCTGGCTATTTTGATTCAGCATCTTTGTATCACTTGCCCCTTTTGTCTGTCGTGTTCAAGATAAGTGTAGCCAGGCAAATGTTGGAGTAGAGCAGTTACACAAGGATAAGCAGAGAGTGCTATTTATATGCCTGGAGAAGCAGAGAAGGCTTAAAAGACAAATGTTTTGCTTAAAATTCTTTCTTATGAGCAGCTGAGAAGGTTGAAGACAGGCTGAATCCCCACACAGACAGAGGAGGACATGCAGACCTTGGAGCCAGTGAAATTTGTCATAGTCTTTTGAATTAGACTCTTCATTTCCCAAGGCCAAGGGTGGTGATTTCCAGAGAAGCATCTGCTTCTTTGGGTAGGTTGGGCCTTGCATAGGCAGCATGGGAACAGAATGCAGGAGGGGGAGGCTGAGAGAAGACTGAGAGAAGATGTAGCAGATGATTTTCTTTCCATGGTGGCCATGTAACTGGATTCTCTTATTTTGCAGAAATTGTAATCCAAATGCGATATGAACAAGGTGTCTGGTTTTGCCTCCTGGTGTTAAAGGCTGTCTTCTGAAACAGGCTTCAAATGGAGCTGAAGTTCCTGCTTCCTTTGTGCACCAGTGAAGCCTCATGTGAGTTTAACTGGAGTATTGTTCTTGTGTCCTGTTTTATATGTTTAAAGGCTACATGGTTATAGCAGCCTGGCATTGTTGATAAAATAATACACAGAACAATAATAGAAATAACTGCCATTTTGATGTATAGATCCATTGTCCTCCATGAACACTGGCAATTAGAGAGCCATCTGCTTAGCTCTGAGGACAAACAAAGAAGAAAACTGAAAACCACACATAATTTGGAGATGGCCCTTGGAGAGTTAATGAAAAGAAAACCAAAATAGATTCAGAGCTTTGCCTGCTTCTGAAGGGAACTGGGCGGAGCATTTGGACTTGCTCTGTGGAGAGCTCA